ATAGCCATTTTAAAGATGGGCTTTCATCTAAGGCAGCGGTTCTCAACCTGTGTGTGGGTCACGACCCCTTTAGCGGTAAAATGACCCTTTTACAGGGGTCCCCTAAGACCATTGGAAAACACATATTTCCAATAGTCTTAGGAACCGAGACCCTGCTCCTTTATCCATCTCCAGGTGGGTCCGCCCACATGCAGATACGCCCATATACAACAGGAGGGACTGTATTAAAGGGTCGTGGCATTAGGAAGGTCGAGAACCACTGAAAGGGCAGAAGGGAAGTACTGAAAGGTATGCGTCAGGGGAGTGATCCAATTAGCACATTAGGCCAACATTCAGCACACTGGCTCTTGCTGCAGTATAGATACTGAATCTGTGGAGAGGGCGAGTGGGGCTGGTGAGCAGTGGGGTTTGCTGCAGTCCCACCTCTAGAGCATTTCCTCCTTGAAACACCAATTTCTCTTGCTTCCAGAATGTTCTTTCTTCCCTCTTCTCTCTCTGCCTATCTAGCCAAGCTCTTTCATCTCCATCTACAATTCCTCTTCCCTGTCCACTCCCTTAAATATTGCTGTTTCCCAGAGTGTTGGATTTTTTTAACCCTTTTTTCTTTTCAATTTTTAGGTACATGTTATAGTGATCTCATTTATATCCCAACTTCAGCTACCACCTTTATGCTCATGATCCCCAAACTTATTTCTTCAACTCAGTCCTTTTTCTCAGCTCCAAACAGCTTACTGGACATTTCTTCTTGACTATCTGGAGTTAGTCTTCCTTCCAAATGTGCTATGTGCCATAATGTATGTGTTACCACATACCTAGAAATGCTCAATTCCTACCTTGCTGATAATCATTTTACTCTCTTCCATTCAGAATATTTTGACCATTTCACTACCCTTCTTGATCTGACTCTTGTTGACTCTTCCATCTTCATCTGCTGCAGTTTTTCTCTCCTACTCTAAGCTGCATCTATGCCAACCCACTTGAAATCCCTGAATGTACCACATGTTTTAGCTCTGTGCCTTGGTATATGCTATTCCTTTTGCTTGGAATGCCTTTCCTTACTGTGCCTAGTGAGCTCTGGAAGGATTTATTTATTTATTTATTTATTTATTTATTTATTTATTTATTTATTTTAGCAGCCTATGTTTGCTCTTGTCTGGCTGTGCCCTAATTGCTAGTTTACATGCGTACTTATTTCCAGGAGTCTCAGAGACTGAGGCACGGAGAGAGCCTATTGAGTTTTGTATCTTCATAACCTACATGTGTATTTAAAGTTGTCTCACCCAGCAAACTTCTCCTTTCTTTTTCTGCCCTTGTGCAAGGCTTGTTTGAGATTAGTTGCATATTACTGAAATGAATATTCCAGAGAAAAGAATACATTGTAAATGTTCAGAATGGATATTCTATGTCTTCTGCTATTTTGGTTTTTTTTTTTTTTTTTTTTTTTTTTTACTTTATGAAGATCAACTCTGGAAGGAAGTATTTATATAGAAAAATTTTATTTTATTTTATTTTATTTATCCTCACCCAAGGACATTTTTTTTTTTTTTTTTTTTTGCATTTATCTTCAGCTAGAGTGAGAGGGAGAGAGAGGAAGAGAGAGAGAGAAGCATCAATACAACAGAGACACATTGAGTAGTTGCCACCCACATGACCCCAGCTGGGTCCAGGGACAAGCTGCAACCGAGGTACGTGCTGTTAGGGGGAACCAAACCCGGGACTCTCTGGTCCACAGGCTAACGCTCTAACCACTGAGAAAAACTTCCCAGGGCTATAGAGAACATTTTAAATAAAAGTTGCAATGTTCTCAGACCTGGTCTCTAAACCTTCCAGGAAGGTCAGTCCTCATATCTCTTAATTTGTTTTGTCAGTCTTCAAAGGTTTACTCTTATTGCCTCTGTTCATCTCCCAAACACCTATAAGTTTGATGCTTTAATGAGATAATATTATTCTCTAAACTCTTACCCCATACTTTTTCTTCTTTTGATCATTTAAAAAAGAGCTATTTATGTCTGGTGCTCATGTTCTCCTCACTCAGCCCCCTGGAATCTGACTTCAGGCTTCACCACTATCAAAAGCTTTCCTTCAAAGATCTCTAGCAAATTCCAGTTTGCCAGTCCAACTGTGCGTCTTGTTTTTTTTTTTTTCCCTCACCTGAGGATACTTTTCTTCCATTTATCTTCAGATAGAATGGGAAGAAGGGGGAGAGAGAGAGAGAGAGAGAGAGAGAGAGAGAGAGAGAGAGAGAGAGAAACATTGACGTGAGAGGAACACATCGATTGGCTACCTCTCGCACAACCCTGACAGGACTGGGGATGAACTGCAACCGAGGTATGTGCCCTTGACTGGAATCGAACCTGAGACTCATTGGTCCTCAGGCCAACACTCTAAACCAGCCAGGGCCAACTATGTGCCTTTAGCTATATTGCTACTTCTTCTCTCTGCAGTTTTGGACACTACAGTATTGATTTTTTCCTTAATAAAATGTTTTTCCCTTCTTAGCCTCTGTGTCATGGCCCTCTCATAATTTGTCTTTCTCTGACTGTGGCACTTCATTGGAAAAGTAGGGAAGAGTCTTATATTGGGGTTACCATATATTTGGGCATATATGGTAATTTCTTTATCCATTTATATTTATTCGACAAATATTTACTGAATGACAACAGAGTGCCAGGCACTGGATATGTGGTGGAAAGCAAAACAGATATCGTATAACTTTCTGAAGTCGAGAGTTTCAACCTTGTATTTGTTATCTATTTGCTGTGTAAACAAATTACCTCAAACTTAGTGGTTTAAAACAACACACATTTATTATCTCTAGTTTATATGGATCAGGCATCTGGGCATGGCTTAGCTCTGCCCTCTGCTTCAGGATCTCATACAAGGCTGCTATCAGAGTGTCGGCCAGGGCAGGGTCTCATCTGAAGCCTCAACTGGGGAAGGATCTACTTCCAAGCTCATTTTGGTTTGGCAGGATTCATTTCCTTATGGATTGTTGCACCGAGGACTTCAATTTCTTGCTGGTTGTTGGCCAGAGGCCACCCTTAGTTCCTTGCCACGTGAACATCTCTATATGGTGGCTTGTTTCATCAGAGCCAGCAAGGAAGAGAATCAATAAAGAAAGTTGCCTAGCAAGATGGAAGTTATAATCTTATATAATATATTCATGGAAATGACATCCCATTACTTTACTGTATTCTAATGGTTAGAAACAAGTCACAGATTCTACCCACCCTCAAGAGGAGGAGATTACCTGGGGCAACAATACCAAGAAGCAGAAATTCATTGGGGGCCATTTAGAAGCTGCCTGACCTAAGCCTCCTATTGTTCTTCCCCTCAGTGTTTCAGCTACCTCAATTTCTACTGCTGTCAAATATAACTCACTCCTTTCCCATTGCTCCAAACCTGCTTCCCATCTGTATCCTCTGTCCTGGTCAGTAGCCTCCTATCCATCTAGTCTTCTAGTCTAGAAACCCAGATATCATTTCAACACCTCCTCCTGAGAGTTAATGGTGGACTAGGCTCATATCATTCTCTACTTTCCATTCATGCTGACATGGCTCTCATTCAGATGTCACTTTGGGTTGGGTCATTATATTAGCTTTCTAACGGGCATCTCTGCCTAGTTTCCCTTCTTATTAATTCTTCTTTTCTAACCACTGGAATTACTTTCTTAAATCCCTCTGATCAGAAACCTGTATGGCTCCCAGCTATCTATGGTGTAAATGACTAGTTTCTCAGTGTGCCATTCAAACCTCTTTACAACCTGGCCTCAACTTACTTTCCAAGCATCTTACCTACTGCTTTCTGCTATTGCCCTAATGCCCCAGGCACACTAGGCCACTTGATGCTTCCCAAGCCCATTCCTGCCTTTCTGCATCTGCATTTGTTCCTGGTTACTTCTTCCTGGGTTCCCTTTTCTTCTACTTCTTCTTCTGGAAATCCTTGATATACTTCCAAACCTGTCTGAAATATCACCTCTTTCAGGAACCTTTCCCAGGTCCCCACTGCCAGCTAATTGCTCACTCAGAACTCATCGGAAGCAACTATGTGCTCTCGGAGTGGTCTGCCTGCACCACTGCTACAAGACTGCTGTTTCATAGGGTTGTTCAGGTGCCTCTGTCTCTCTTAAAATGCCAAAAGGCAGGGTCTGTATTTTATTCTTCTGTGGATCCAGCCTCTAGTGTAGTGATTCACAATCTTGGCTGCATGTTGGAATCACCTGGGGAGCTCTGAATATCACTGAGGCCTGGGATCCACCCCAAAAGGTAATGACCTGATTAGTCTCAGGTGCAGCCTGAGCATCATCCCATGGACTGAGAGGTCCCAGTTCAATTCCTCATCTGGGCACAAGCCTGGGTTTCAGGCTCAATCCCCAGTAGGGGGCATGCAGGAGGCAGCCGATTTATGTTTCTTTGTCACATTGATGTTCTATCTCTCTCTCCCTTCCTCTCTCTCTAAAGAATCAATAAAAACATATTTGAAAAAAAAAAAAATCAAAGCACTGTGATTCTAACATGCAGGTAACATTGAAAACCACTACTTCTAGTTGAAATCAAGACTGGGAGAATAAAAGGATGAGAATATGTTAAACATTTAATGAATAGGAAGACTTTAAAACTAGAATTAAAACTGAGGTTTTAGAAATTACACACACACATAAAACACACACGCGTGCACACACAGACTTCAAACAGTGTATGACTTAGCTAAGTAATCAAAATGGTTTCTAAATGGATGGTCAATAAAATGGGGGAATATGTATTTTTGTGGTAATGAAAGGAAATCAGAAATATAAAAGAATAAAAATATGGTCTCTCAAAATCCAATACTTTAATTTTTGTGCATCTGAAGTAAGCAATAAAATAAGATAATGACCTACCTGGAATAATTAGCATTTCTCTTTTCATTGAGCACTGAACTGTGTGTTGTGTGTGTTATGTGTTTGTATCAAAGGTATAATTTAATTGCTAATTATTCAGATTTTCTTCTTTATTTTCTAGGAATATTTTGAAAACAATTGCCCTGGGTCAGATGTTGTCCTTGTGTATATGTGGAACAGCCATCACCAGCCAGTATTTGGCAGAAAAATACAAAGTGAACACCCCCATGCTTCAGAGCTTTGTCAACTATTGCTTGCTGTTTCTAATTTATACAGTGATGCTGGCATTTCGATCAGGTATGCCAAGTGTGGGAATTAACCTTTTTAACAAATTATCTTTATTAAAAATATGTGGCTTTTGTCCTGGCTGGTTTGGCTTAGCGGTTTGAGCTTCGGCCTGTGGTCCAGAGAGACCCGGGTTTGTTTCCCGCTAAGGGCACGTACCTTGGTTGCAGTTTGTCCCTGGCCCTGGTTGGGTCGTGCAGGTGGCAACCACTCGATGTGTCTCTTTCACTTCGATGTTTCTCTCTCTCTCCCTCCCACTCTGTCTGATCAAAATATGGGAAAGTGTCCTCGGGTGAGGATAAAAATAATAATATGTGGCTTTTACACATTTAAAAAATAAAACATGAAGCAACACTTAGAACAGGAAAAACTATTGCTGTTTTTATAAAAGTCATTAGAAAAATATAACACCTCTGAATTCTGTGAAAGTAGTGATTAGAGATTTATGCATAATCTCTGACATTGTTGATTAAAATAAGTAGCACCAACTTGAACAGTAGAAATTGTCCAAAAAAAAAAAAAAAAGTGTAAATGCTATTACAAGTTAGCTTTTATTTTTTCCCCTGTGGTTGATAAGATTAAGAGACAATATTAAAACCACTTAAAGTCAAGAACCTCACTCTCTAAATTCTGTGTTTGCAGCTAAGTGGAGAATGCTAAATGGAGCACTGACTGTATGTAGAACAAGTCTATGTGACAAGAGAAACAAAGACAAGGAATTAACATCTTTATCACTGGCTGGTTAAGTTGTTTAAGAATCATTACAGAATTACCATTTCTCACTTGCTACACAAAAATGGGAAAAACTAGGCCCTGGCTGGTTTGGCTTAGTGGTTGGAGCATCAGCCTGTGGACCTGATAGTCCTGGGTTTGGTTCCCTCTAAGGGCACGTACTTTGGTTGCAGTTTGTCCCGGCCCTGGTTGGGGTTGTGTGGGTTGCAATCACTCGATGTGTCTCTCATGTTGATTTTTATTCTCTCTGTCTCTTCCCCCCTCTCTCCCTCCCACTCTATCTGAAGATAAATGCAGGAAGAAAAAAAAAAAAAGGGAAAAACTAGGCTCTCACAAACATTTTTGTGCCAGGCATCATTTTAATTGCTTAACTCATTTAGGTTTGGTATTAACTCACTGAAGCCTCCCAGCAAGTCAAGCGAATATTACGATTATCGCCACTTTATGGATGAACAAACCGAGGCATGTAGTACTTATATAACTTGCTCTAAGTCATATAGGTAGTAACTGGTGGAGCCAGGATTTCAACCTAGGCATCCAGTCCCCCAGAGCCCATGCTCTCCCCACCGTTCTGTATTTGGGGCTCCTAGTCATGATAACGACCATTCTTCCCACAAGAAAAGGGCATGTTATTATAAAATAAATTACATGAGATTGAATTTAGGAATATGAGGACAGTGGGTAACTCAAATCAATTGAGAGGGTACAATACTTCCATTTTTATCATATTTAAGGCACATAATAAAAGCACCAGTGTGGTGTTTGCTAATCTTAATTTTTTAGACTTAACTTTATTGTTGAATGTATTACAGATGTCCCTCTTTTTTCCCCCTTAACCCCCTCCTTCCTAATCCCGCCCCCCTCCTGCCTTCCCCACACTATTATCTGTGTCCATTGGTTATGCATATATGCATAGAAGTTCTTTGGTTTCTCTCTTCTCGCCCCACCTCTGCTCTTCTCTTTGAGGTTCATCAGTCTAACAACCAATTTGTACTTCCTAATCTCTTCATCTTTTTCACCCAACTCCCTCCCCTCTGGCAACCAACAAAACGTTTTCTGTATCTATGAGTCTGTTTCTGTTCTGCTTGCTCATTTTGTTTGCAGACTCAATTGTTGATAGATATGTATTTATTGCCATTTTATTGTTCATATGTTTTTATCTTCTTCTTCATCAAGAAGACCTGTCCACATTTCCTATAATATGAGTTTGGTGGTCATGATCTCCTTTAGCTTTTTCTTGTTTGGGAATCTCTTTATATGGCCATTGATTCTAAATGATAGCTTTGCAGGATAGAGTAATCTTGGTTGCAGGTCCTTCCTTTTCATCACTTTAAATATTTCTTGCTTCTCCCTCCTGGCCTACAAAGTTTCTTTTGAGAAATCGGCCAACAGCCTTATGGGAGCTCCCTTGTAGGTAACTGATTGCTTTTCTCTTGCTGCTTTTAAGATTCTCTTCTTGTCTTCTTGTATTTTAATGATGATGTGTCTTGGTATGGCCCTTTTTGGGTTCATCTTGTTTGGGACTCTCTGTGCTACCTGCACTTCTATGCCTGTTTCCTTCACTAAGGGAATTTTTCTGTCATTATTTTTTCTTTTTTTTTTTTTTTTATTAATTAATTTTTGTTACAGATGTTTCTCCTTTTCCCCCCACGGATTCCCCCCTCCCCCTCCCTCCATGCCCTTTCCCCAGTTTGTTGTTCATGTCCACTGTTCATGCATACATGCATATAAGTTCTGTGGTTTATCTCTCCCCCACCACCCCCTCTTCTGGGGATTGTCAGTCTGTACCCCACTCCCACATCTCTGGGACTACCCCATTCCTCAGACTGTTGTGTTCATTATATTCCACACATAAGTGAGATCATATGATACTTGTCTTTCTCTGTTTGGCTTGTTTCACTTAGGATGATACTTTCCAGGTTCCTCCATGTAGTCTCAAAGGATAAGAGATCTTTCTTTCTTACAGCTGCGTAGTACTCCATTGTGTATATGTACCACTGCTTTTTCATCCATTCGTCTACTGATGGGCACTTGGGCTGTTTCCAGATCTTAGCTATTGTAAATAGTGCTGCTATGAACATGGAGGTACATATATTCTTTCTGATGGGTGTTACAGGCTTCTTAGGGTATATTCCTAGAAGTGGAATCACTGGGTCAAATGGAAGTTCAATTTTTAATTTTTTGAGGTAACACCATATTGTTTTCCATAGTGGCTGCACCAGTCTGCATTCCCACCAGCAGTGTACTAGAGTCCCCTTTTCTCCACATCCTCGCCAACATTTGTTGTTTGATGATTTGTTGATGGCAGCCATTCTGACAGGTGTGAGGTGATACCTCATTGTTGTTTTAATTTGCATCTCTCTGATGATGAGCATTTCTTCATATGTTTCTTAGCCATTTGTACTGTCATTATTTTTTCAAATAGGTTTTCAATTTCTTGCTCTCTCTCTTCTCCTTCTGGCACTCCTGTGATGTGAATGTTGGTAAGCTTGAAGTTGTCCTACAGGCTCCTTATACTATCTGCATTTTTTTGGATTCTATTTTCTTTTTTCTGTTCTGATTGAGTGTTTTTGCTTTCTTATATTCCAAATAGATGTTTTGCTCCTTGGCTTCACCTACTGTACTATTGAATCTCTGTAAATTATTCTTTTTTTTTTTATCCTCACCCGAGGATATTTTTCCATTTTTTGTACAGATAGAGTGGGAGGGAGAGAGAGGAAGGGAGAGAGAGAGAGAAACATCGACGTGAAGGGACACATCGAGTGGCTGCCACCCGCATGACCAACCAGGGCCGGGGACAAACTGCAACCGAAGTACGTGCCCTTAGCGGGAACTGAACCCGGGTCTCTCCGGACCGCAGGCCGACGCTCTAACCGCTGAGCCAAACTGGCCAGGGCTGTAAATTATTCTTTATTTCAGTTAGTGCCTCCTTCATTTCTAACTGGTCCTTTATCATGCTCTTGAGGCCCTCACTAAGTTCATTGAGCATCCTTATAAGCAGTGTTTTGAACTCTGTATCTGTTAGATTGCTTATCTCCATTTCATTTAGTTCTTTTCCTGGAGTTTTGTTCTGTTCTTTCAAAAGAACAGTTTCTTTATCTTCTCATTTTGGCTGTCTCCCTGTGTTTGTTTCTATGTATTAGGTAGAGTAGCTTTGTCTCCTAGGCTTTGTAGGGTGGCCTGTTGTGGTAGGTGTCCTACAGAGTCCAGTGGCACAGCCTTCTTGGTCACCCAGAAGGGCCCTCAAGGTGCACCCGTCGTGTGGACTTTATACCCTTTTATTGTAATTGAGTCTTGATTGCTGTTGGCACATCAATGGGAGGGTTTTACTCAGGCTGATCAGCTGCAAGGACTGGCTGTGCCCACTAATCACCAACCTCTGACTGCCTTGGATGATCAGCTGTGCAGGAGCCCACCACACAGAGCAAGACTTACTTCAGCAGTGCTCTGGTACCCCTTGAGTCCATTCCTTGAGTGTTTCATTTGTGAGGGGTTTGGGTGGTGGTGCTTCAACGTGGGCTGAAGCTGTCCACCAGGTGTGCTGGCTCTGGGGCAAGATCAGCCACTGCCTGTGTTCTACCCAGGGCCACCAGGCATAAGCTACAAAGTGATCTGCCGATGGCTGCTTCTTGTGCTGGAGTTGGAAGTGCCCAGGTGAAGCCAAGCTGTGAACCAAGTCTGGCTGCTTCTGGTGCTTGGCCTGGGGCCACTTAGCGAGAGGTATGGGGCTCACTGTGGCCAGATGCTGCTTGTTTGAGAGAATTTAGGAAAATCTGAAGCAGGAGGCAAAGCAGGCCAATCCTATGGTAAAGTCATTGGAAACAGCTTGGGTGGGTCAGAAAGTTGTGTGGGGCAGGGCCTCAGGGAATCACCGGGATGGGCAAGCAGTGTGAACTAGGTTGCTGGAGTCCCAGATATGGTGACCCTCTGCCTGCCCTGTGGGGGAAGGGCTAACCAAAGGAACAATGGCCTCAGCCAGCACGTCTGTTCAGGAGAAAACTGCCTCTCCAGCCCTCAACCCAATGCCAAACAATTCAGGTCTCCCCTGAATGTCTCTGGTGCCTTTCAAGCTGCCTCTCCTTTGCGCTGGAGCTCAGAGGGAGCAAGTCTGAGTAAGTCAATATGCAGGCCCTTTAAGAGGAACTGTCTGGGGCTCTAGCAGCATCAGCCTCTCTCAATACTGCTGGTTTTACAGCCAAAAGTTATGGGGACTTGTCTTCCTGGCACTGGAGTCCTGAGTTGGGGGGCCTGGTATGGGAGGGGGACCCTTCACTCCTCAGGAAGGACCTTCTCAGCCTGTCCGTGCCTCTGCCCCTCCTACCAGTCTTGATGTGGCTGCTTTAATTTCATAGTTGTAGGACTTCCATTTAGCCCGATTTCAGACTCTTCTGAAGGATGGATGTTCTGTAATTTAGTTGTAATTTTGATGTGGTTGTAGGAGGAGGTGAGTACCATATTTACCTATGCTGCTGTCTTGACTGGAAATCTGATCCTTATTTTATTTTATTTAAAACATTTTTTTTGTTACAGATGTTTCTCCTTTTATACCCCATTGGCACCCCCCTCCCCATCCACCCCCTGTCCCGTCCCCAGCTTTGTTGTCCATGTCCATTGGTCATGCATACATGCATATAAGTTATGTGGTTTATCTCTTCCCATCCCCCCCTTCTGAGGGATGTCAGTCTGTGCCCTACTTCCATGTTTCTGGGTGTACTGTATTCCTCAGACTGTTATGTTCATTATATTCCGTATATAAGTGAGATCATGTGGTATTTGTCTTTTTCTGCTTGGCTTATTTCACTTCAGATAATACTTTCCAGGTCCCTCCATGTCGTCTCAAAGGATAAGAGATCTTTCTTTCTTACAGCTGCATAGTACTCCATTGTGTATATGTACCACTGCTTTTTTATCCATTCGTCTACTGATGGACACTTGGGCTGTTTCCAGATCTTAGCTATTGTAAATAGTGCTGCTATAAACATGGGGTACATATATTCTTCCTGATTGGTGTTTCAGGCTTCTTAGGGTTATTCCTAGAAGCGGGATCACTGGGTCAAATGGCCATTCAATTTTTAATTTTTTGAGGTAACACCATATTGTTTTCCATAGTGGCTGCACCAGTCTGCATTCCCACCAGCAGTGTACTAGAGTTCCCTTTTCTCCACACCCTCGCCAACACTTGTTTGATGATTTGTTGATGGTAGCCAATATGACAGGTGTGAGGTGATACCTCATTGTTGTTTTAATTTGCATCTCTCTGATGTCTAATCCTTTTTTTTTTAAATGTTTTCTTTATTAATTTTAGAGAGAGAAAAAGGGAGAGAGGGATATAGAAACATTGATGAGTGAGAACATTGATTGGCTGTCTCCTGCATGCCCCCTACTGGGGATTTGGCCCACAACCTGGGCATGTGCCCTGACCCGGAATCGAATTGGCAATCTCTTGGTGCATGGGTCTATGCTCAACCACTGAGCCACACCAGCCAGGTTGCTAATCCTCTTTTATTATGAACCTTAAAGGTTCAATGATGTTCCTATGTGTCAAGATAAGAAAGTTATTTTTGGAAGAAAATACAAACCTATTGTAGGGGGGGGGGGGAAATAATTTGAAGGAGAATGTACCAAATTTGGCAAGAGCTTTTTTTTAATCCTCACCCGAGGACATTTTTGTCCAGATAGAGTAGGAGGGAGAGAGAGAGAGAGAAACATCGACATGAAAGGGACACATCGAGTGGTTGCCACTCGCATGACCCAACCAGGGCTGGGGACAAACTGCAACTGAGGTACGTGCCCCTAGCAGGAACCGAACCCGGATCTCTCCAGACCGCAGGCCAATGCTCCAACCGCTGAGCCAAACCGGCCAGGGCTTGGCAAGAGCTTTAGGAGGTGGAAATAGAACTGGTACATGGTTAATAGGGATTTTGATCTTCACTGTAAGCATTGGCCTTGAGTAAGTCAGTGAAACTCATAAACATGACAGTATGGTTTCCCTAAGGTTTGCCTTTTAGGTGTTTTTTGTACCATCTCATGTTGAGGAAGACTAACTGTGCTTTCAGGATTTTCCTGTTAATTTGGTTTTAATGGTAATTATCTGGTTATGATTCTCACTCCCTTCATTTCTTTGTAGGTTATTTACAATAAGCCTTCTAATCTATCTGCTAACTGTATGTCCTGTGATGGTAGATTCTCTAAAGAAGTGAATCACAGTTAACTTGAATAAATAGAATTTCATGAATAGGAGGTGTTTCTTCAATGGTGCCACTTAAGTCTTTTTCCAAACTTATCGCTGACTTAATTTTCTCTGGAAAGCACATCTCTTCCAAAAGAATGACCATATGCAGAATTTCTTTTGAAAAAGCCCATGAATGGAGGTTAAATTTCCATAAGAAAACATTTCATTTCCTAGGATAATCAGTAGCTTGTCAGGAATGGCAACAACCAAAATTGTATCTAGATATTGTATTTCTGTCACAATGAGGAAGGGAATTTAATAACTTTTTTCTACTTTTTCTCTGGTGCTTTCATTGTACACTTGGTTTGTGATGACACCTTAGCTGAGTCTTATACTGGAAAAGTCTGACTGCTGAACTGTTGTAGGAATTTGGATTATGAGTAGTGGAAATCAGGAGGGGCCACATCTAAAATACACAGTAAACACTAAGTCAACGTGCACGCATCATTTTCAGGTTACATGTACTAACCCAGATTTCTTTCAACCAGGCAGTGATAACCTTTTATGCATCTTGAAAAGAAAATGGTGGAAGTATATCCTGCTGGGACTAGCAGATGTAGAAGCGAATTACCTAATTGTCAGAGCGTACCAGTACACGACTCTAACCAGCGTCCAGGTAAGAGGACATCCTCTGGCGAATTTGGAGTTTAGTTTTTTTTAAAATGTACTTTTTTATTGATTTTTAGAGAAAGAGGAAGGGAGAGGGAGAGAGAGGGAAACATCAATGTGGAAATGGAACATCAGTCGGCTGCCTCCTGCATGCCCCCTATCAGGGATTGAGCACGCAACCCCTGGCATGTGTCCTAACTGGGAATTGAACCATTAGTCTTTTGGTGCATGAAATGACACCCAACCAACTGAGCCACACTGGCCAGGGCTTTGGATTTTATAGTTTTAAGAGAAGAATATGAACTCATATGTGTTAATTTTCTGGAAAACCTGTTCACTTGAAGAAAACCTAAACACAAGTGGATACTATCTGTTTTCCAGTGGAGCATATGTGCTAATGAGAAAGGGTTTCTGGACTTAGTGAAAATGTATACAAGTTAATGAGTTCTCAAATTACAAATGCTATAGCAGATTAGAACAGTTTCTACCAAAATAAGCATAAATATTTAGTTGGCAATTGATGCTGTGATGTTGATGAGAGTGCTGCTTTATGTGTTGCTCACACATGAATATAAAGTGGATGTACCTTTGTGCTACAGAAGAGAGAGGTTTGCTAGTAAAGTAGGTATTCAAGACAAAGGAACCTGCTAGACATCTTGGGTAGAGATCGTAGCCAAAGGCAAAACTCACATCCTTGTTTGTTTATTCACTGAATTTAAAGAAATGTTCCTATATAGCAGTCAACTTGGTGGAGTTGAGGAAAACTAATTCAGTTGTGTTTTTTTAAATTGGGTGTATGTGAATCTAATGGACAAAATAAACTGATGAACAAAAATAGAAACAGAGGCATGGATAGATGAAACAGACTGACACCTGTCAGAGGGGAGGAGGTTGGGGGCTGGATGAAAGAAGGTGAAGGCATTAACCAAAAACACACACACACGCACACACACACACACACAGACGCACACAGACAACAGTGTGGTGATAGCCAGGAGGAAAGGGGGGTGGGAATAGGTGGAAGTGGGGAAACGGAGGGAAAATGGGCATGGAAAGAGACTGCCTTGGTCGAGGGGTGCACAATGTAGTATGATTCAGTTGTCTTAATGTTAGGAAGCTATGGGATGTGTTGTAACACTGACTTGCCATTGCTAATGACAAAATGTTTTATAAATGGAGGTGAAAGAAAGATAGACTCCATTGCCAGGTTAGACTCATTGTTTAATGAATTTATAACTTTTTGATGCATGGCTTTTCTCACCATGTAAAACAGAGATGTTCTTATTTGATTCCCAAATATTAGGAATGTGGAATAATTGAAGTGAGATAAGGATTGATAGGAACTCAGTATTTTTCCAATGGGAATATACATTAAGTGCTATTATTACCAGAATGCATTTTTTTTTTTTTTATCCTCATTCGAGGACATTTTTCCATTTTTTGTGTTCAGGTAGAGTGGGAGGAAGAGAGAGGAACGGAACAGAGAGAGAGAGAGAAACATCGACGTGAAAGGAACACATCGAGTGGCTGCCACCCGCACAACCGGCCAGGGCCGGGGACAAACTGCAACCGAGGTACGCGCCCCTACGGGAACCGAACCCGGGTCTCTCAGGACCGCAGGTCGACGCTCTAACCGCTGAGCTAGGGCCCAGAATGCATTTTATTAAATGCTTTATTTTCTGTAACCTTGTGCTAAGCACGGTCCACAGCACACCTCTTTATTTTTGACTGGCATGAGTTTAAAAGTCCAGAAAGGAAATATTTGTTAAGACAGACATTGTAGGAGGTACATAGAAAACCCCAGAATTTCTTAAAAATTAAAACCAGGAATTAAATAAAGGATGAAGTTTATCACAAATAGTATTAACTGTACTTTAAACAGTGGGCAGTCAGTAAGTGAAAAATAGCATTTTCTAGTCACATCTACCCTCATAATCTCACACACAATTCAATGACTTGATTACAATTTCCAGAAACTTTGATCTCTGACCAGTGATGATCAGGTGCAAGGTCTAAACACAAAGGTGTGTTAGAACACTCACACTTGGGTTTTGTGACTGAAGTTCATTTCTCCTATTCCAAAATAATTTTTTTCATATTAGACTCTTAGAAAAACCTAAGCATTTGATTGTCAAAAGTTGTGTATTTATGGCTTCAGCAAGGAGTATATTTTCATTTTATATTTATTTATTTTTCATCACCATTTAATCCCCTATGCCCTCTTCCACCTCCACCTGGCTTCCCTACCAAGTGTGTGTGTGTATATATATGTATATGTTCCTGTGTGTGTGTGTGTGTGTGTGTGTATATATATATATATATATATTTATTTATTTATTTTTGTTACAGATGTTTCCCCTTTATCCCCCATTGACACCCTCCTTCCCCTCCCTGACCTCCCCATCCCCAGTTTTGTTGTCCATGTCCATTGGTTATGCATGCATCCATATAAGTTCTGTAGTTCATCCACCCCCCCCCTTCTGGGGATTGTCAGTCTGTACCCTACTTCCATGTCTCTGTGACTACCCTGTTCTTCAGACTGTTATGATCATTATATTCCACAAATAAGTGAGATTATATGATATCTGTCTTTCTTGGATTGGCTTGTTTCACTTAGGATAATACTTTCCAGGTGCCTCCATGTTGTCTCAAAGGATAAGAGATCTTTCTTTCTTACAGCTGCATAGAACTCTGTCGTGTATATGTACCACTACTTTTTTATCCATTTGTCTACTGATGGACATTTGGGCTGTTTCCAGATCTTAGCTATTGTAAATAGTGCTGCTACAAACATGGGGGTACATATATTCTTTCTGATTGGTGTTTCAGGCTTCTTAGGGTATATTCTTAGAAGTAGGATCACTGGGTCAAATAGCAATTCAATTTTAAAATTTTTGAGGTAACACCACATTGTTTTCCATAGTGGCTGCACCAGTCTGCATCCCCACCAGCAATGTACTAGACTCCCCTTTTTTTCACACCCTCGCCAACACTTGTTGTTTGATGCTTTGTTATTGGCAGGAGACATTCTGACAGGTGTGAGGTGATACCTCATTGTTGTTTTCATTTGCATCTCTCTGATGATTAGTGATGTTGAGCATTTCTTCATTAGTCTCTTGGCCATTTCTATCTCCTATTTGAAGAGGTGCCTATTTAGCTCCTCTGCACGTTATTATTTATTTATTTTTTATCCTCACCCGAGGACATTTTTCCATTTTTTGTTCAGATAGAGTGGGAGGGAGGGAGGGAGGGAGGAGAGAGAGAGAGAGAGAGAGAGAGAGAGAGAGAGGGAGAGAGGGAGAGGGAGAGAGAGAGACACACATTGATATGAAAGGGACACATCGAGTGGCTGCCTCCCGCATGACCCAACCAGGGCCAGGGACAAATTGCAACCATGGTACGTGCCCTTAGAGGGAAGCAAACCTGGGTCTCTCAGGACCACAGGCCAACGCTCTAACTGCTGAATCAAACTGGCTAGGGTCTCTGCCCATTTTTCAATTGGGTTCTTTGTATTCCTTTTGTTGAGTTGTATGAGTACCCTATATATTTTGGAAATTAACCCTCTATCTGATGTATCATTGGCAGTTATGCTCTCTCATGCAGTGGGTGCCCTTTCCATTTTGATGGTTGTTTTTTTGCTGTGCAGAAGCTTTTGAGTTTGATGTAGTCCCATGTGTTCATTTTCTCCTTTGTTTCTGTTGCCTTAGGTGATGTGTCAGTAAAAATTCTGCTGTGTATGATGTCTGAAATATTGTTGCCTAAAGTCTCTTCTAGGATTTTATGGATTCATGAGTTACATTTAAGTCTTTTATCCATTTTGAGTTTCTTCTCGTGTAGGGTGTAAGTTGATGGTCTAGTTTCATGTTTCTGCAAGTAGCTGTCCAATTTTCCCAGCACCATTTATTAAAGAGGCTGTCCTTACTCCACTGTATGCTTTTGCCACCTTTGTCAAATATTAATTGAGCATATTGCCTTGGGTCCTTTTCTGGGTTCTCTGTTCTGTTCCACTGGTCTATATACTTGTTCCTGTGCCAGTACCAGGCTGTTTTGATTATGGTGGCTTTGTAGTATAACCTGAAATCTGGTATTGTGATCCCTCCAACTTTGTTCTTCCTTTTCAAGATTGCTGTGGCTATTCGAGGCCTTTTTTGGTTCCATATGAACTTTTGAAGTAAATGTTCTAATTCTGTGAAGTATGCCGTTGGTATTTTGATGGGGATTGCGTTGAATCTATATATTGCTTTGGGTAATATGGACATTTTAATGATGTTAATTCTCCCAATCCACGAACAGGGTATGTGCTTCCACTTTTTTACATCTTCGTCTATTTCTTTTTTTCAATGACCTGTAGTTTTCTGCGAATAGGTCCTTTATTTCTTTGGTTAAGTTTATTCCTAGGTATCTTAATTTTTTTGCCGCAATGGTAAATGGGATTGTTTTCTTAGTTTCTCTTTCTGTGAGTTCATCATTGGTGTATAAGAATGCTGTCAATTTCTTGACGTTAATTTTGTATCCTGCTACTTTGCCAAATTCATTGATTAAGTCTAGTAAACTTTTGATGGAGTCTTTGGGGTTTTCTATGTACAGTATCATGTCATCTGCAAATAATGACAGTTTCACTTCCTCCTTTCCAATTTGGATATCTTTTATTTTTTCTTCCTGTCTGATTGCTGTGGCTAAGACTTCCAGTAGTAGGTTAAATAGGAGTGGCGAAAGTGGGCATTCTTGCCTTGTTCCTGTTCTTAAGGGAAATGCTTTTAGTTTTTGCCCATTGAGTATGATGTTGGCTGTAGGTCTTTCATATATGGCCTTTATTATATCGAGATATGATCCCTCTATTCCCACACTGCTGAGCATTTTTATCAGAAATGAATGCTGGATTTTTTTGAAGGCTTTTTCAGCATTTATTGATATTATCATGTGGTTTTTATTCTTCATTTTATTTATGTGGTGTATCACGTTTATGGATTTGCGAATATTGTACTAGCCTTGCATCCCTGGGATGAA